TGTGACCTTACCTCGCAGGAGGACCTGGGGGCCCTGGGTTCCTCCACGCTGCTCCCTCTCCTGGCTGTGGCTTTGGCAAAGCAGCCACTCCCGTTCAACAGCATTAACCTGCTACTGTGCGATAACAAATCCATAATCCTGCCCAACATCTCTTCCTGGAGGCAGGAATAATGATGTTTTGGCGGTTTTGGTTCTTGTTTTCTGTTTTGTTTTGTTTTTTCAATCCGGGAAATTTAAAGCAAGATACGGCTTTAAATTTAAAGCAAGATACGGCTCCACCATGCAAATAGTAGCGAGGTGCCACCGGTGTGGGGTAGTGCGTGGCCAGGGATTGTCCAAAAGAAAACAAAACAAAAACACAGGAAAACTCGCCAAACTGGACTTTTTGGGTGCTGGTGAATCTTTTTATTATTATTTATTTATTGCTGGCGTTTGTTTAGCCCCGTGCACAGTGCCGAAGCCCACCGTAGGCGCCGGCGCTTCCCGGCCCTTCCCTCGCCTGAGGCGGGCGGGCGTGGCCGCTCCCGGCGCACGCGCGGTGCTGGCGCCGCGCACGCGCTGTCGGCCGGGCTCCGGGCGCCGCGGGCCGGTCATGGGATTGCAGCCCGAGTAAGGGCCGGCACCGGCACCGGCACCGGCGGCGGACAGTGGGGAAGGAAGGCGGGAATGCCCCCGGGTCCCGCGCTGTGTCGGGAACACGCTGCGGGAGGGACGCGGTGTGACCCCGCCGGGCCCATTCCCGCGGCTGCCGGCCGGCTCCCGGCTGGGGTATGGGTAACCTTGAGGCGGGGAGGGCAGCAGTAGCGGGCACAAACGAGGCGAAGTTGGTTCTGCTTAAAGCAGTGTTTGCTGTAGGGGCATTCCTTCTTCCTTTGTACAGCTCGTCGTGGTTTTATGGAAGAAGCCAGGTAAGTCATTGCGGCGGTGCCTGAGCTCGGCCGGGAAGGGACGAGGGCTCCGCTGAGGACGGAAGGCAAGGAACAGGGGGATGGTGCTTGTCTGTAACAGAGGTGGGGCTAGAGGAGTAGGGTGTAGCATGTCCTGGAGTGTAATATGTCCTCTGGTGCGGTGAGGGGAAAGTCATGGGATTAAAACGAGGGAACTCGGTCTCTCAGGGAGAACACCGTGTGTACATCTCGTCTCAGCCTCTGAAATATTCCTCCAGGCTTAGTGTTGGGACTTCCAGTGTTCCGGTATGCTAAAACAGAGTGTGCTTGAAGCAAACAAACAGGAAGACTCCAAACAAAAATACAAAGCAGCTCTCCCTACCTCGTGCTGAAAGAAACCCCAAATATAAAATAAAAAAAAACCCACTCTGAAAAGAATTCTGTTTCGTTGCAAGTATAAACAGAAAGCAGTGACCACCTGCGTCACTTTGTTTAAAAATAATTTTGAAAAACCCTGGCCTGTTTTACGGTAGTAAATTTTCTGGCATGGGTAAATTTTCAATTTAAGTTATCAACTAGGAACATTAAAAAAAATGTCAGTGTCTCTAGCTTGGTGGTTATATGCAAAAACGAGAGTTTGCGTATAAGCAGAAGTAAAATAATGAACATTATTTTCTCAAACACTTAACACTTGGTGTGTGTTTTGCCTCAGGAAGATAATTTGAGCTTAACTTACATCTTGTCATCTCTGGGGCTGAATTTTATATTTTCATTTGAAAGTACTTCTTAATAAAAAGTGTTGCAAAACTCCTAATGATGTTTACTGAATGCTCTGACCAAAGTTTCACCAGAGGCAAAGGCATGCCTTTTGCAAATGACTTTGTAGAATGCATGAAATATAACTTTTTACATAAAACTACAGAAACTGAAAGTAGGTCCCTCAAAATGGATGTGAATAAATCACCTGGTTTTGTGGTTTTCTTTTTTTTTTTTCTTAAAGATCTGCCACGATGCCTGGGTCTCTTCCAGTGAATGCTGAATCCTGTTGGCCCAAAGATGTGGGAATTGTGGCACTGGAAATATATTTTCCCTCTCAGTATGTTGACCAGACAGAGCTGGAGAAGTATGATGGTGTGGATGCTGGGAAGTACACCATCGGTCTCGGCCAGGCCAGGATGGGGTTCTGCTCTGACCGGGAGGATATCAACTCTCTCTGCTTGACTGTGGTCCAGAAGCTCATGGAGAGGAACAGCCTTTCCTATGATTGTATTGGGAGATTAGAAGTTGGAACGGAGACCATCATTGATAAATCAAAATCTGTGAAGACAGTCCTGATGCAGCTGTTTGAAGAATCTGGTAACACAGATGTGGAAGGAATCGACACCACCAATGCATGCTATGGAGGCACTGCTGCTCTTTTTAATGCCATTAATTGGATTGAGTCCAGTTCTTGGGATGGTAAGTTCATGGTCTTTTCTTGAAAAGTTACATCATCCTTACATCAGTCTGCCCTACAATGACAGTGTTCATGTCTAACCTTGTAAAACCCAAAGGGTAAACTGTTTCTCTCTTCTGCAGTCTTTTTCTTAAATGCTGTGGGCATTTGCCAGTAGTTCAGTTACAGTGTGAAGAACAATGACATAGATATGAATCGCTGTTCTCATGTAAATTTTGGCAATTGCCAGAAAATAGAAACTTGGGGGGAAAAGGATTGAAGATCCCCTTAATCTTGATGTCATCTTCTCAACAGCCACGGTTTTTTCTGTGTGTTTTTTGCAGGACGCTATGCCCTCGTGGTGGCTGGAGACATCGCTGTCTATGCCTCCGGGAATGCCAGGCCAACTGGTGGGGCTGGTGCTGTTGCCATGCTGGTTGGTCCAAACGCACCCTTGATCTTTGAGAGAGGTTAGTGCTGTGGGAGGACACACCCTGTTCAGGCAGATTTGTTCTGAAGCCCGTTTCACTGTTTTTTGTGCCTCGCTGGAGTGGTGGATTAACTCCCACTAATATCAGAAATTGTTCTGTTTCCTCCTGCTCTGGGCTAACTCAGCCAAGTCCTGTTATAGGATGAAGCAGGAAACAACTACAGGTGGTCCTATCTGTTTATTTCCTTGGGAATTGTCCAGTAAAATTGGCAGAGTGGACTAGGGCTGAATAACAGAACATTCTACTTCTAGGACAATATGACAGCCGTCCTTTGTTGCTTGTGTGTCATGCTCAGTCCTACTGTACCTAACAAGCAACAGAACTGTGTGAAACCTTACCTAAAGGGTGCTATGAAAATCTGCTTGACGGGGGGGGCAAAACTGCTTGTTTCTGCACATGTGCTGTGTTCCAGTTGACTGGGAGCAGCTGAATAAAGCAGTTTTCACCTTTTTGTCATTTTCTGTCCACCAGGGTTGCGTGGAACCCACATGCAGCATGCCTATGACTTCTACAAACCAGATATGGTCTCTGAATACCCTGTGGTGGATGGCAAACTCTCTATACAGTGCTACCTCAGTGCTTTGGATCGCTGCTATACTGTCTATCGCAACAAAATCCATGCCCAGTGGCAGAAGGGTACGTAGCCTCTCCTGATGGTACTGCAGTATCTGGGAAATGCTGGAATGTGTAACTGCACACACAATGTATTTTCAAGTTCTAGATTCTGATCTAAAGACTACTGTATGGATCTCTTCATATTTGTGTATTCTGAGGTGACTGAAATATTTGCTTTCTCCCATAAGAAATTACTTACTTCTGTTCTGGCATGGTTAAGTTCCTGACAGTCTGTAACTACAGGCATGTGTTGGTGTAATGTATAATATTTTGTTCAAAAGCATGCTGTTACCCACCTCCACCCAGGCTTTTAAGAAATTTAGATTAATATTTAAATGTTACGTAATAATACTCTTTTTTTTTTTTTTTTTTTTAAATCCAATAGGTTTAGTAATTGCTTCCCTCATATTAAGAAGCATAGGTGTGAAGAGAGTTAAATTACAGTTTATTATGTCGGAATGCTGGGTAGAAATTCTGTTAAGCTTATGTCTAGAAGCTGAGCTTATGTCTCTTACTCTAGAATAAGAGCAAACATTGTTAGCTGGTGCAAAAGATAGTAAGGAATTAATTTTTAAGTAGAAGCAGTGGCCGTGTTTTAAATGCAGCTGACAGCAGTATTTAGTGTTACTGGTGTCTTCTTGTATGCTGACATGTTATGATGACTGGTATCCTGCCAGCTCCCTGCTTTATTTTCATAGTTGAAGGGAGTACTAAACATAGGTTGTAACACAACACTTCTGCTACTTCCAGAGGGGACAGACAGACGTTTCACCTTGAATGACTTTGGATTCATGATCTTTCATTCTCCGTACTGTAAGCTGGTACAGAAATCCGTGGCCAGACTCTTGCTGAATGACTTTCTCAGTGACCAGAACCCAGAAACAGCAAATGGTGTTTTCAGTGGTCTGGAAGCTTTCAGGTGAGAATGGCTGCTGTCTTCCTTATTCACATAATCTTATGTTGCACATCAAGGTGTGTTTTTACTTTCTGCTATTTTAGTAACTGTTTCTGACCTCCTTTTTTTGTTTTTATCAGGGATATAAAACTTGAAGATACGTATTTTGACAGAGATGTGGAAAAAGCTTTTATGAAAGCTAGTGCAGAGCTCTTCAATCAGAAAACCAAAGCTTCGTTGCTTGTGTCCAATCAGAATGGAAATATGTATACCCCTTCAGTCTATGGTTGCCTTGCCTCTCTTCTAGCCCAGTAAGCATCAAATTGGGAAAAAAGTTATAGCTGTTTATGAATAAAGACATAAAAGGTTTTTGTTTTAGAAAGACTTCTGTAAAAGCACTGTCTAGCAAACCTTTTAGTACAAGATTGCCTTGAGCAGAAAGACTAAAGTTTAAAAATCTATTCTGCACATGCATTCAGTTCATGTGACAAGCAACTGAAAATGTGAACGGATGTGAAACAGCTGCTTACTGCCTTTCTAAGTAGGGTCTTTCTTGTGAGGCAGTGTTTCTTCTCAACCACAACCTTCCCTCTTTCCCTCCCCCTAGAAAAATGCCTGCAGTGGAAAAGAGAATCGGAATGTCTTCTTTGTATCACTTTAAGCAAAACCAAATTAAATTAGCATTTAAATTTTTTTAATTATTTTTTTTACAATGACAGCCTTTTACAAAATCACGTTAAGTTTAAGTTAAACCACTCTTCCTAGATCCCTTTTTCTTTATTCTGACATTGCCTTCCAAGATGTGTTTCTTCATTTTAGGCTTTAGGCCATTCAAGAATGAAAACTGACTGCTTTTTTAGATAATCATACTCTCTCATTTGTCAGCTCTGTTTTGCTAAGGCAGCTTTGGAACTCATCACAATATCTGAATTTGTGTTTTTAAAAGTCAGAATTTATGCACATAGCTAAATGTGTATCGTAGACGATATGATTTGCTGACTACTTTTCCTAAGCTAGCTGCAATTTCTAGTTATTTAAAACTGACACCTGGGCTTAACTCCCACATTAAAAAGCTGTTGTTCGATTTGCAGGTACTCGCCAGAGCAGCTGGCAGGACAGAGAATCAGTGTGTTCTCCTACGGCTCTGGTTTTGCTGCTACCCTGTATTCCATCAGGGTTACACAGGATGCCACTCCAGGTGAGTGACATGAGATGTTACCCACCTCCCTTGCACAGGTCATTCTCAATGCCTTATTACACAGCGGACCAGCATCATAAAACCTGCAGAGCAATGCCTAGTGATATCAGTGCCAAACTGAGGGTGTTCTAGCTCCAGGGAATGTTTGCGTCTCCTTGAACAAATAATAATCTTCAAACTCCGTTAATGTTTTGATTGGGTAATTGGGAATACTTTTAAATGACTAACAGTTGAGATTCTGTAATGCAAAGTATTTTGAATGAGTTTGAAATGTTAATATGCTGCTGTGCAGTTCTCAGCACTGGTGCTGCCTTACACGATGGTTCTGTATTGCAGGTTCTGCACTGGACAAGATAACTGCCAGCCTTTCTGATCTCAAAACAAGACTTGATTCAAGAAAGTGTATTGCACCTGATGTCTTTGCTGAAAACATGAAGATCAGACAGGAAACACACCATTTGGGTAAGAACTTCATAAATATAAATCATTCCTAATCCTACAGCAAAATGCTCATCACTTATTTCAGCTGACTTCAAATGATTAGGGTGTAGAATGAAGGAAATGTCCAGCCTTTTTCTGCTTCTGAGTAGCTTGTCTTCACTGGCCCAACATGGGCTGAAATAAAAATCCAGACTTGTTTTTTGTCTATGTCAGTGCATCCAAACTGCAAAGGCCTGTGTTAAATAAAACTCTCACCAGGAAACAACTAACAGTCTGTTATTCCCTTTTTTACAGCCAACTATATTCCACAGTGCTCAGTAGAGGATCTCTTTGAAGGAACCTGGTACCTTGTGCGTGTGGATGAAAAACACAGGAGAACTTACGCCCGGCGCCCACTCCTCGGTGATGGACCTCTGGAGGCAAGAGTTGGAGTTGTGCACCCAGGCGTTGTTCATGAGGTGAACACTCGGCACTCTTTCAAAGTTTGATGTAAATGGTTGGAACCATTTACATGTCTGTCTTAGCATGTGCATGTATGTTAAGAGGAAGTGGTTTAACGAGTTATATTGAATACTTTGCTAACGTGCCTAACATACAAGCCAGAAGTAAAAAACTGAATGTGGGATTTTAAAAAAGTACATTTCATCATAAAGAGAATGAAACTGCACAAGAACGAAACAGGAACAAAACTGGCTCTTTTCACACAGTCTGTTTGCATGAAGCATGACCGATTAGACTGACTTTAGGTCAAGCCGTCCAGTGTAGCATGAATGTTGTTTGAGAGTTGGACGAGCCATGAAGTATGAATGTGTGTGAACTGGAAATCTGTATTTAATGGTTTTTTTCCCTTCTTCTTAGCACATCCCAAGCCCTGCTAAGAAAGTGCCAAGAATCCCTGCAACAACAGAAACTGAAGGCGTTACTGTTGCCCTTTCCAATGGGGAGCATTAAGATACCTCTGTGAGGTGGGGAAAGAAAGAAGGTGTAAGGGTAGGGTGAGAGAGAGAGAAATAGGATTGCAGTAGTGCTGAAGTTTCAGTGTACACTAGTACTTCATTGGAGCGTAAAAAAACTGTTTAAGGTTCTTGAAAAAAACCATCATAATGCAGTGTGCTGATTTTAAAGTATTTTCAGAACACTAAAATCAGGAGTATATTGGAGATAGAAGGACTTGCTTGGTCCTCTGTGGATTCCTTAACTTGTCTGAATTTTTTTAATTGCTGAGAAGTAGCTGTAGTCTATTACAAAGTCTTTGTACATAGAAAAAAACCAAAAGGAATCTTCTGCCTGCTCTTTCCATGTAAAATGACTTGAAACCTACACTGTTAACTTCTACTAGTACTCAAGTGCGTGCAAACTAGTCCAAGCTTTCAATGTTAGGGTTCTCAGTGCCTTGACAATAAGCAGTCAATCTTCCGAATACTGCAATTCTCTTTCACTTTATCACCTTCCCTTTCTTCTCCCAGTTTGCCTCCCATCACCCCATTGCTTTGGGAAAGGTATAGAACCAAGTAACATCCATTGTTGGAATAGAATCTCTCTTCCCCTCAAAATTACTGGATCAAGAACAGCTAGGCTGACAAGTGGTTTTCTTGGAAGAAACTCTCTGATCCACTGTGTTAGTATGTAATTTCTCCTAATATGCCTATTAAGTGTTTTATGCCTGCATTGCAAGTCACGGCAGCCTGGGAGGAAAGAGGAAAAAGAAGGGAAGTAGTAAATTTTTTCTTCTAAAGAAATGGGATCATTGATTTGGCACCTTTCTGGATCATTAGTAGAAGTATCCAAGGCAGCAGAATTTTCAAATAAAACTTCTAGACGTTACGGAGCTGTTGTAATTGGCAAACAAAGGAAGAGAGCGATCTCATCAGTTTGTCCAGAACTCTGGTCTCTCACTAGTCTTTATATAATACATTTCCAAAAGACTATTTCTAACTTTGAATTTGGCTTTGTACCTTGAAGTCCTTCTCACTATTGGTAATACTCTAGGACTAGTGTCTTTCATTTCTTTTGTGTTTTGTTTGTTGGTTTTTTTCCAACAACCTATCCATTTTGCCAGTGGTAGATTTACAGTGGTAATGGGGAGCCCATTCTGGTAGATTTTTAAAGCCCAGATTGGAAATGAACTATGACATGAGCCTTTTAAGCCTGTAATATATATATCTATCTCTATCTATAGATATATATATTTAAATTGAGCTAATGTACAGATTAAGTTTTGTTGAGTTTATTTCTTTGCTAATTCTACAAAGCCACATTATCTAATATAAAGTAGCAAAAAATTATTTCTCTGTTAATCACAATTTTTTCTGTGTGTAATGAAGTGTTTGTATTACCTGTCACTCACTAGGATTTGATAACTTGCTGTATTTGTACAGTCAAGCCTTGATAAAATAGTTGTTTATTATAAATTGACGAATACTAATCTGTTTGTTCTGCTAAAAATGATGGAGCAATGATGCATGACGATAGTGTTTGCAAGTATTTTGGTTTAGGTTGCCCTCGTGAAACTTAACTCGGCACCAGGAAAACAAACTGTCATGGAACAAAGTCCATTGCTGGCAGTGGACAAACCAAGAAGTGAGCAACTGGCACAGACCTCCCAGGTCTGTGAGGCTGATCCTTTATTAAAATAAAGTTTGACATATTTGAAACCTGTTGGAGTAGTGCTGACTTGTTGGGTTTTTAGGACGCTTTATTTTCAACAGGAAAGAAAGAGGAAACTGGCTCTATGAAAACCCAAAGTTGTGGGTTCACAGGCTGTCTGAATAATCTGGATCTCTCTTTGTGTCATTCCCAACAAAACGAAGGGGTTGCTCAGGCTGGTGTAAAACCACTACATCAGGGCTGTGTCTCAAAATAACTTAAAATGCTTTCATATGGGAACTGTTTATAGCAGAGGAATTAATCCCCATCTCATGAAATGGAATTAATCATTATTACTGTCTTACAAAAGATAGTATTTTTTTATCCCCCTCAGAAAATCTGCAGCAGGGGCTTGTCTTACTTTGTACATACTGAGTCCAGTTTCCTAGGGGTGGCTTTTCAGACTCATTCTGTTGTTATTTAAATTAATTACTCCTCCCAAAGTCAGAACTAATTGTCCCATCAGCCCTCATAACAGATAAGGCATCCTGCCCTTAACACTTGAAAGCACCAGCTGTACCTACGTAAAACTTGTATCAGCTGTCTTAACTAAAGTCATTCAGGCTCTACCTGTTAGCTCAGGCAGGTCAGCTGTCCTTGTTCAGGGAAGAAAGCTACCTCTCTTGTCCTTTGCATTGGAGCTGATGCTGTTGAAGATGAAGTATAAAATCAGCAATTAAAGCTGAAAATTCGAGCAACTACATCTTGGTGATGCTCAGAGTGACTGGTGGTGTCAGCCTATCCCACTTTAACTTGCAGAGGGCAAGAGTGTCAAGATCATCTTTGCTACAGGTTTGGTTGCCAAAGCAGGGTGGCAGGAGTTGAGTACAAGCCTGTAATGCTCAGCAGATACAAGTGGATTTTGCTACTGGTTGCATTCAGCTACTGGTAACAAGTGCTACAGCAAGAACTTAAAACTACATGAGTTTTGGAGTACACTTAAATCTTTCTTTATTGGAGGGCAATGAGTCCAAGCAGTTCCCAACTGGCAGAATCATGCAAGTAGTGAAAGGTGTCAGGTTAGTTGATGGTAGTCCAACCAGTCATGCATTGGGAATTGCAACCACACATGCACGGTTAAAGCACTGTATCTTAATTTGTCTTTTGGAATCATAACAAACTGAGAACTGCAGCACTGCTGTTTCTTAAAAGAAAGTGCTTTTTTGAAATTATCTTGATTAGGAAGCTCAAAAGAATTTGCAGTTGTTTAGATTATGGTCTGGTCTCTGCTTAAATTTAGTTCTCTGCAAAAACTGTCCTAGTTTGCAGTGGTAAAGTTGTGTCAAGCTGAGGTACAGCATTGCAGAAGTTAGCTGTTACACGCCTATACTGAGAATCTCCAAGTGGGTTAAACACAGTGGTATGATCTTTACTAAAAAATCACCTCCCTCCACTTGTGATCCTATGGATTACTGGTGTTCTTGCACTGGCTATACCATGTCTCTGGAGCAAGGGTCAAACAAATGCACAAGAACTCTGTGTTTGAGCACTTTGCTGTGTCTTGCGAAATGCAAAGAAGATGAGGCATTTTTGGTTTATTCAAAAATTACAAAAAAATGTAACACCAGAATTTATGACAAGTCAATAATCCCCTCTGAAAAGTGAATAATCCTCTCTGTCAAATGTGCTGAGTACAGTCTGCAGTGCAAATTTATAAAATAGAACACAGCTTGGATGTGTGCTTAATCCCACTGTAAGAATGAATTCCTTTCCTCAAGTCTTGTTCTGTGGGGTCCGGGTGGGACATGATAGGAACAGATTCCAGTGCCCTTTTCTTCTGTACTCTGTGCAGCACAATCCGGTAGACCCCTGTTATTGAGCTGCGTGCGTCTCTTCCCCGGTTATTTTGAATGTGCTGCTCTGTGATTCCCAGATCTTCCAGAATATTTTTCACTTCAATTTCTTCTTCTTTGAGCGTATTGACATCTGATAAATACTTAGGATCCAGTTTAAATGTCTGTAAAGGTTTGGGATACTGTATTCCTTGCATCCATTCGCTGTTCATAATCAGTTTGACAGAGTATCGCTTGGTTGGTACGGGCTGAAGGACTCCTTTTATCAGTTTCTGGCAATTTTCTGAGAGGCAAGGAGGCAAAGTGTATGTCCCTTCAAGAATGCACTTCTTCAGTTTGCCTACAGTATCTGCCCGAAATGGCATGCTACCCGTCATCATGAAGTAGAGGAGGATTCCTAGTGCCCAGATGTCCACATAGATGCCTATATAGTTTTCATCTCGGAAGAGTTCAGGAGCAGCATAAGGAGGAGAGCCGCAGAAAGTTTTTAAAGTTTCATCTCTTTTACTCATTGTACTGAATCCAAAGTCTCCCACCTTAACACAGGTGTTACTAGTGTAGAAGACGTTTTCTGCTTTCAGGTCCCGGTGAATGATATTATTGTCATGCTGTAGGACAAGAGAAGAAGTTGGTATTGGTTTGTTCACCAGAAAGTTCTCAATGGCTACCCCTAATCAGTTAGTTACCCCATAGGAGAAGGGGAGTTATCTTGGGCAAAGTCATAAACTAGTATTGCAACAAAACTGAAAACGTATTAAACAAACATAACTTAATTGTCTAATGATACAAAACCAATTGAGTAGGGGAAAAGAAGGATGCTGAGATTTTTTTAAGAACAGCAGTCCCAACCAATACCAAGTATTTTCATGAAGGGCAGTATGGCTAATCCCATAAAACTAGATGTCATAGACATGATAAGACTTCATGTGCAAAATCTGTATTTTTTCAGTGTTCACGACACTTGGTTTTGCAGTTACTACATGTAACAGCTTGTGGAAATAAGTGCTTATTTAGTTCACCGAGTGAACATAATCACAGATGGAGTAAAAAAGTGACTACAACTGTGTTGTGTGATCTAATGTCCTATGAGGAACTGGTGGTGGCAGGAGAAAAGGACCACAGGCTTGGGCCTCATGATATTTCATGTTGCAGGATAGCAAATTTAGTGGTGTCTTCTAGTTTTCAAAAGCTAAAATAAATACATACATTGTAATTTCTACTTTTTTCCCTTGGAAATGGTAGTAGTAGCTAAGGACTCAAACTGAATTTGTTCTGCTTAGTCACAACATACCCATCTTGATTAGGTAAGGGTTTAGCTTCATTTTTGAACTAACAAGAAGGAATGGATGTGTTTGAGCACACTCTGCCCTACCCTCTGGAGTAACAAGGTGCAGTATCTGGTGGCAATAAGGAAACCGTCTGACATCCTATTTCAACTGACCTCAAAAACAGGCAGGGATCCTCTGTTCTTCTTGTGCACTGGCAGCAGTGAGGTGGGATTTATACAGTCTGGATTGGATAGCTTAGCAAAAGTAAAATGTTGTGCAGAAGGCTGTGTGTACAAGTGAAGAGGTTTGCCAGCTTGGTAATCTGGGTTTGATTCTAAGAAATAGGTGTGGTGTAATTTTGAAATGTAAATTAAGTTCCTGCAGGGTACCTGTCCTGTGGAAAGTGCTGGAGCTAATCCATCACTTCCAGGACATACGGTCATTTTATCAAAATATATTAAAAATGCATACTGTTTATGTAAGACAGGAGCAGTGAGTGACCTTGGAGACACCCTTGCTTCTGCCCTCACCAGAGGCTATCATGTGCCAGGAGAACATGAGCCACCGGAGGGCACTCTGAGCCAACTTTAACGAGTACTACTTCTCAAACTGGTAGAACAGTCCTCTGTGTTTTCATGCTGTTGTTTGAAGTACCTGTAGTTACTATGCGAGGTTCAGAGGACGTGGTATTGAAGTAGTTAATTACTCCTCTCTGCCTTTACAAGGTGCTTTGGGCTCTACACAAATGGCATCATCCTAGGTGCAGGTACTGAAGACTAAGGCAAGGGAGAAGGGACTTGCTGGGTGTTAACCTCACAGATTCACGCTAAAGTGAGGACCAGGAATGGCCTGCCTTTAAGGACAGACTCCCATGTTCATTAATAAGCAAGCTGGATGTTTGCAACACCTAACAAGCTTCCGTGGAACACTTTGTTCTAGCAGAAGAGTGACTAATCCCATGTTTTGAAATAGGTGGAGGGAAGAAGTGAAGCTTTGTTCAGTAGTAGCCACGGCACCTTAAAGCAGACACTGTTGCAAAAGGGATTATGGCACCCACCAGGTGTTCCCTCTAAGTCTCCTCCTAAAAGCTGTTAACAGAGAGGCAGTAACTCGAGGTAGATGTGCAAGCTCTCTGGTATTCTCTTCTCCAGCCGTTTTGCTTTTCAGAAATGTGGGCCTGAAACTTTGTTTAACAGTACATCTACTAATTGAAAAACAAAAGATACACCCACAAAATCTGCTAAGATTAACGAGGGGCAACATGACTGTGTAAGCGCAACTTACCATGTGCTTCACAGCAGACACAATCTGGGAGAAGATTATTTTACACTCCGTTTCTAGCAGCTTTCCTTCTGTACTAATTTTAGTGAAGAGCTCCCCACCTGCAGCGTACTCCATCACCAAGTGCAGTTTTGAGAGTGTCTCCACCACTTCATACAGCCTGATGATATTTGGGTGATGCAGCTTTTCCATGCTGGATATCTCACGAGACAGCAAACGCTGAGTCTTCCGGTCTAGCTTTGTCTTGTCCAAAATCTTAATTGCAACTTTCTCTGAAAAGGAAGACATTTTTCCATGTTATTAGTGCAATAGGTACAAATGGTAATACTTTTTATGACAGTGTTTGGTTGAGGGGAATTTAGAAGGCCTTGGCTGTAACCTTGCAGGTTTATAATGGAGAGATTTTGAAGTTGGTGCAAGTTACAAAACTCTTCCCTAACTTCTCCCATAGCCCCCTAAATTCTCAGTTAGCAAAATCAGTGTTGTTGAGGTTTGTCTTTGTCAGGATAGCTGTGCCAGTTTCTCCAATGTGTTCATGTATTAATAGTTCTTGGTACTGTACAGAATACAGGAAAATACATTTTATGTCTGTATGCCACAGTGAGCCGTGAATCCACAGCACACACAAGATTTTATTCTGAGGAAGGGAGAAAACAGTGAAGCGGAGTACGCTGCAGGGATCCTGTAAGACAGCAAACCGAGCTGACATATGCTGTTCTGGTAATGCAAAGCTGCTGTTAAGTCCTAGATGTTTTCTGTAGTGTATCTACAGTGAAGGAAAGGGCCACAAAACACAGATAATACATCTGCAGCTGCACCACATCGTCAGGGTAGCTCAGAGCAGGATGAAGAGATCAATCACTGTTGCCCTTATGTTTCTGTATTAGTTTGTAGGTTATGGCCTTTGTCTTCGCTGTTCTGAATACAGCTGGTATTTGAAGGATTAGTCTGGTTAAAACAGGGTTACGATGGCTTTGCATAATTTGTCAGGACAGTGAAATTAAACTGGATCACAGCAATAAAAACAACTATTTATTCCTGGAAATAAATATCTTAGTCAACCAATCACAGATTTCTTAACAACGAATCACTTTTAACAAATCTTTCAGAAAAAAAACTTCACCCCGGTTTCTAGCACATGGGAGTAAGTTAGAAAAAAAAAAAAAGGGTATTGTTCACTTTTTACTGTAAGAGAAGAGTGAAAAGGGTATTATAACTGTACCTGTGTTCTGGTATAAAAGCATTTAAAATGTTTTTACTTAATGACATAAACTTTTTAACTCAAGTTTAGTGTTTCAACATATCTAGTGTTCAGGATATTTACACATCTATCTTACAGATCAGGAAAACTCCATGTTTGGTACATTTACATTTTTTAGTACCATACATTTCCCTACTGAAGTGCAGCAGGTACTTGAAGCAAATATGATTCTTGTGGGAGGTACTGAGTTATCCCTTGATGTGCCTGTTTTCAGGAGTCTGTGCTGAGTACAGGGCAGTTTTCCCCACACTGCTTCTCTCTGACATGCTTTCTAGGGAGCTCCGTGGGTAGGCAGGTACCTGCTCCTGCATGGTGAATTGGAAGGAAATGCAGCTACTGCCACTCACCCTGGCAGTGCTCTGACTGCTGACCCAGCAGTGATAGACTAAAATATCCTTGTCATGTTCCTAGCATACTGATCTCTTAAACCACAAGGAAAAAGCATCAGCTTGCACTAGGCTACATTCACTCAACTAAATGGTTAGATACTCCAGGCAGAACAATTCTCACAATCTTAACCCTGCAATTTCATCATTACATCTTGATTTATAAAAGTGGAGGTCATTTGGTCAAACAAATCTTCCCATTCCTTTTGCTGGAAACTACTATTCCTCCTTGTCAGTTTTCCTGCAATGTTTTAACAGGGGGAAATGTTTAATGTCTCTTAACAGGGAGAAAAAGAAAAGTGTTTACAACTGAAGGCCTGTTTCTGTTCAAACACCACCATAAATCAGGACCAAGCTCCTTTAAATCTATATAATTGCAGTTGCAAATGCATGACATGTGAAGAAACCCAGCCCACCCAAAGTGTAAGAAACCTGACACCTTTCTTTTCTTTTGTAAACGAGTCCTCTCTGCTTCCAAAAAATGATTGGTTTGCAAATCCTCTACTACCCGTGCTTGGCAGCAGTGCTAAACAGAAGGGTGTTTTTAGCAGGCAGCTTATTTACAAAAAGACTGGGTCGAAAAATGTTTGACTGACTATACACAGTGTATGCTGAGGTTTGAAAGCTGCTAGCTGGAATCTTTATAAGAGAAATTAAGAAAAGGTTGAGAAATAATTTCAGGAGGAAGTGGTGTTCGCTGCAACGGCAGAAAGGAAACAAAAGACAGACAAAACCAGGTTAAAATTGCTTTAAAAAGGAAAAAAAAAAAGCAAACTAGGTGCCTGGAAATCTGTGCTTCTGCAATTCATGTTTCACATTACACTGACTTTTTATTAGCTGTAAATTTTAGATGCTCTTACTTGCATCTATTCAGCTGTGGTCTCACACTACTTTTGTCAGCTGGAAAGCATGTTAAAATAAAGGTTACATAGAGCTTACGAATTTAACAGTCCTTAGCAAAAAGCTTCACAGGTTTCTGGAAAAAATGTCAGCCAAAATTCAGGCTAATATAGTGGATAATGCTCCTGAATATCACAATAGACATAGAATCATAAAATCAGAAAACACCTCTAAAATCATCACATCTAACTGTTAACCCCGCACTGCCAAGTCCACCACTAAATCATGTCCCCAGGTGCCACAACTACGCATCTTTTAAATATCTCCAGGGATGGTGACTCTGCCACTTCACTGGGGAGCCTGTGCCAGCACTGGACCACCCTTTCAGTGAAGAAATTTTTCCTAATGTCCCATCTAAACCTTTCCTGGTTCAACTTGAGGCCATTTCCTCTTATCTTATGGCTTATTACCTGGGAGAAGAGGATGGCTACAATCTCTTTTCAGGTATCTGTACAGAGCAATAAAGTCTCCCCTGAGACTCATTTTCTCCATGCTAACACCCCCAGTTCCCTCAGCCGCTCCTCATCAGACTTGTGCTCCAGACCTGTCACCAGCTCTGTTGCCCTTCTCTGGACTCACTCCAATGTCCTTCTTGCAGTGAGGGGCCCAGAACTGGACACAGAATTTGTGGTGTGGCCTCACCCGTGCCCAGTACAGGGGGACAGTCACTGCCCTGGTCCTGCTGGCCACACTAGTGCTGATCCAAGCTAGGATGTCATTGGCCTTCCTGGCCACCTGGGCACACTGTGGCTCATGTTCAGCCGCTGTCAGTCAGCATGCCTGGATCATTTTCCACCGAGCCACCTTCCAGACACTCTTCCCCCAGCCTGCAGAGCTGCCTGAAGTTGTTGTGACCCAAGGGCATGACCCGGCACTTGGCCTTGTTGAACCTCATACCACTGGCCTCAACCCATCCAACCAGCCTGTCCAGATCCCTCTGCAAAGCCTTCCTGCCCTCCAGCAGATCAACACTCCCAGCCAATTTGCTGTCATCTACAAACTGACTGAGGGTGCCCTCAATCCCCTTGTCCAGATCACTGCTTAAGGTGTTAATCAGGGCTAGTCCCAATACTGAGCCCTAGGGAACCCCACTAGTGACGGCCTCAGCTGGATGTAACTTCATTTACCACCACTCCCTGGGTACAGCTATCCAGACAGTTTTTTACCCAGCGAGGAGCACACCTATCCAAGTCCCATCACAGCACCAAAGACTTCTCTGTATTCTCTAAACAACCAAGACAGCCCTTCTAAGAGAATCAAGGTATGTCATCCAGTGTGACCCTGATGTATTTTCCTATCTCTCTAGAAGTGCTGTGTCCTGCTGTGACAGACCACAAGGACAACAGAAAAGCACGCACAGTGTAATTGTTACAAAGGCTCATGGTAGTAAAAGCCAAAATTGTTTCTCTTTTTGATATAGGGTGACATGTACAGAGAGAGACCATACGTAACACTATGGTAGTAACTGAGGAGCTGGACAGCCCTGACGCATACACAGAGACCCAAACAGCATTAATAATGAAGCCTTTGTATTTATATAATCAGCAAAAAAAAAGACTAGTACTCATTAACACTGTGAAGGAACATCATCACCAATACAACAATGTGCATCTACCGCAGAAAACAGAATCCTCTCTGTGGGCGGTGGTGAGGGGGTACGGATGCATGCCTGTGTGCACGTCCCTGTTCTTCTGTCCATGTACTGTATTTTATGAGCACAGATAAGCTCACAGGCAGAGACGAGACAGAAAATGCTCATCTTCTATTTTTCCTTCCTCATGACAGTTGCAAGCTTAGTATCAAGAAATCAACTCTTTGCCTGATGAAAATTTTAACCAAAAAAAGCTTCAAACAAGTAAAAGAAAAAATAACTGGAGAGATTTCTGGTGCAAAAGTGCTTTTTCAAGGAAAAGGAAGAGTTTTGGTTGTGCTATTTAGTTTGTCCAAACTTACTGTATTCACCAAGTTCAAAATTTTTCAACTCTATTCAAATGCTAAAGCAACCTGTTTTTTAAGGAAGTTCAGCAAGTAAAGGGTTCATCCAGATCAAATTTCTAACTGCCTTTCATTAGCATTCCTGCTGCTCCAGATACAGGAGCAGTATTTCTTCCAGCAGTAAGTACAAGACAGTTATCTCTGGAAGAAAAAAAAAAATCACAGAAGAGGAAACAACTTGCCATGGGCCAAGTAGAACAGAATTGCTTTTCTTAAACAATCAAAATCAAAAAATCCACACCCAATTAAAGCAATCCTTGGGAAGAGGCAGGCTTAAAAATGATAAATTAACCATTAGTTCCCCACTTAGATTCCCAGTGCAACAACTGCTGCACATAAGTTTTCACCCTCTGAAGTCTGGGCTGAAAGAGGGAGTCAGGGAAAATAATGGGAGATAAAACAGGTTTTGGGGCATATCTTGTTCTCTCACCTACAAGAGGATGGAGGGAAGGAGAGTCAATCAGTTTGAAAAAGAAAGCTCTGGTATTGCCAAAGTGGTGTTTGTGTTGAATTGTCAACACACCAATTTAAACCAATTTTTTGTTTTAAATACAGAAAAGCACCCTATCTTCCGTGAAGGGCTAGAAGGGTTAGGTAACTGGAGTGGACACTTCAGTCACTGGTATAACTAAGAACTTGTCATCAACTGTCCTATTTCTTCTTCTGCCTCTGTCCTACAATAATAGAAATTGTTCTTGTTTTCCATCAGGGTGGCTAGTTTTCCCTACATCTTTGTACACTACTATCGTGCCATTTTTCTCAATCTGACTCTCCTCGCAGAGCTTGTTTCCCTGCACCTATAGCCTTATCCTATCTGTCTGAAAAGGAGTCTGTTAAAACAGGCACAACAATTGTCACCAAAATTACTGTGACCAAATAAAATCTTGGTCCATAGTAGTGCTATTAGTGATGAAACAGAGGAAGCCTTGCTACTGCTGGCTGCAGGCAGGAGCATGCCCAGCCACGCTGCAGTGGGCATTCACCACCTTTAGCCCTGCAGCCCATGAGCTGGGGCAGAGAAGAGGGCAGATGGACAGGAAGGTTGTAGGAGGGGAGGCACAACACATGCTATTCAGTGTGGAGTGTTTGAACCATGGGATGAGATGTGTTAACACCGTGGAGTGCAGTGATGAACTTTTCTTGTAATGGTTGCTATCTAGAGAAAATGTTTCCAACCTTGACCATTTTTCTGTGACATTGCCTACAGATTCACTCAGCCACATTAAAAAGACACATACAAACTATATGTGTAATTAAGGTTCAGACATCTTTTTTCCCTTTGTATAGGGTACTTACTCAGCATGCAATAGTACCTACCTTTGGTTAGGGAATGAATTCCAAGCTTCACTTGTGAGAAATTTCCACTTCCTATTTCTCCTCTGACTCGATAGAAGGCAATTCTCTTTCCCAGGGTTAATTCTTTCACCACTTTTTCATTGTGAGACATATCCTGCATTAGTTTCTCAAATGGGGTCAGCCTGTGCTGCCTGCCCTCTTCATCTCCTCTGTAGCATTCCGGGTGCGCATCGTCTTCTCCACTATCCTCGTGATTCCACCTGGAACAGCGGTGTTTTCCATGACCTCCTTCATTCACATATCCTGTTGTCATAGTCTACAGGGTAATTACTTCCCCATTTAACAAGATGTCGCGATACCAAGCTTAAATGAAGTGATTCTGGATGAATATGCAATCCTGGACATAATGGAAACTATGACAAATACAGTAAAAAAACAGGAAGTCCAAGGATTAGTTTGGAATTTACTTCAAAAACTTATCTGTCATATCTGCATATTGCATGTCCTGTTCAAAATCAGAGATAAAGCTGTATACATTGATTCTTCACTCACAGAGCGAGTGTGTCGGGATCTTCAGCTGCAGGGTGAAAGAGGCTTTGCAATTAAAACTGCAAACTTTGTGCAAGGAAGCGGCAAGGTGCTCAGTGTCTACACAGTACATTTGACACATGGAAAATATTTGACACAATTTTCAGGCTTTAGCTTGATGCTTTAAAAACTGGATAGATAAAGGTCAAACAGAAAGCTGATTAACTGCTCCTAATAAATCCAGATACTTCCAATTAATTTTGAATAGCTGACCTTAAGAGCACAGTTCTGCTTGATTCTGGTACGAGTCCAAGAGCTGACTGTAGGGTTTGCCTTTGATTCATTCTTCAGCTGTGAGCTTGTCACTGTGCCTTGGAAATGTCCCAGTGTGTTGAAGCCTTGCTGTAAAAAGTTCGTTGCCCCTCTGTTTCCTTCGCATGGTGGGTTTAACGAACAGCTAATTCTGGAAGAGGACAGGAGAGCCAAAATCTGTGCCCCAGGCAAAAGAAATGCTGCGCCTTAGTGTCCCTGCAGTCACATGGCAGGACAATACAGGATTAAGTAACTGCAATGTCACGTTAACACTCCTTTATTTAGATGAGCTTTCTTTAACGCCTTGAGCCTTCTCAAAATTTTGCCAGACGTCTCGTGTTCCTAAGCAGACAGATGAAGAAAGTAATTAAAACCTTTACATAACATCCACACGCGTCACTGAATGACAGCCTCCTGCATACCATTTCACCAATTTAACTCTGGCAGCACAGATGTGGAAGTCCTTACTCTAAATACACAAGCATCACTTACCTTTAAAGCAGCACACCACTATTTTCCTCTTTACTTTTCTTCTTTAAACTTGGAAAACAGGAGTTAATCAGCAACTGCTAATCATACAGCCTGAGGGTGGTGAGCTCTGACACAGTGCAGAGCTGACCTCCCCTGCTCTCAGCCTGCAGCACACCCGACTGATGAACACAGGAGATACCTGACTGCCAGGACAGATTCAGCCGACTGAGAGGGAGTGAATTAGACCAGTAACTCATTGCCTGGGGCTTAGGTAGACAGCTAAGGTGCCGCACTAGCAGAGGGCATGTGACATGCCCTCCACATCCCTCCCCTCCCCCCTCCCCTCATCTCCTCTGTCAGCAAGACAAAGCGAGGTCAGAGGTACCACCTCAGGTGTCTGTCACTCTCTCTACCACTTCTCTGAACCAGGAATGCTTCTTATATTCTGTTTGTTCTCCCTTTGGGGAAAGAATGATTTCTTGCAGGATTGCCTGAATTCTGACCCTGCTTTAACCTATTTCACATCACAATTGTAAAAATATTTTAGGGAATAAAAAATTCTTTATATGGAACTCAACTGTATTTCACAGTTTTTGTGGCGGACAGCACTCTAGCAGAGCAGGGCTTTTGAAAACCACTCATCTACTGTATACTGCCACATCAGTGGCATTAGAGAGGCAGAACTCTGTTCCCATTCTGCTTGAAGATAATCACAGCTGCAGAGGCTGTCCATATGAAAAGTCCGGAAAACTCCATGAGCGATGTCAGAGGTCCCATGTACCAACAATGAGCTATTATTTAGACAGGTGTCTTTGGATGGGCAGTGGCATCCTCGTCACCTTACCAAAGAACAGCTGTAACTTATGGCTATAGCATGAGCACCCCAGAATGGCAGATGTGGGCAATTCTGGTCTTGCAAAAGGAGCAACACAGAACTACTAATGGGGGGGGGGGAGGGGAACCACAAAAAACCAAACAAACACCAATCAACCAACCAACCAACCAAAAAAAAAAACCACAGGAGACTCTGGATATCTGTGTCTTATGAATACCAGCCTATTCAGCATCACAAGTCAAAGTCACCCAGCTAAATACCATCTTCTGAAAAAATTATCAGGGCCCATGCAGTTACCTGGCTGTGCAAAAAAGGCTGACTGCGCAACAAGGATTCCTTCAAACAGACTTGTACAGACAAGCCCCTCCTGAACACATTTGGTTAAGGCAGGAAAGGCAGCTATCCCAGTCCCTGTGAATCACAGGGACCAACACACCATAGGGGAATGCCAGAACCTTGTGGGAACAGAGGAGTCAAGAGAAAGGCAAAACTGCCTTAAGCCACCAGCAGATGGCTGAATTCTTTCTGAATTTGTTCCTGCAGAAATTTCTGCTGGGGCTCAACATGCTCTTTTTTAGAGCACAGCCTACCATTAACCTCCCTTTCAGACTTGCCACTTAATTGTCAATCCTGCAACTTCCTGGCATCTGGCCAACTGGTGAGGCATTCCCTGTCTTCTGAGATGAGTTATTTCAGTATTCCTGGTGTTAGCAGAATATATGCCATCTATTTATGGCCTACATTCCTTCCTGTATTCTAAACCAGCAAAATCTATCCTGATATCACACAAAAGGCCACTGACTGTAAAAGAAATTCTAAGAGAGAAGGAAAAACGAGGAAATCAGAAGTGATCCAAATACAATGAAGGACAATAATTTAATTTCTTTTTTCCAGTCTGGCTGACTGGTGACCTGAAGAACCTCAGAAGAACTTATCTGCCCAAACAATAACTTTAAAACTAAACAATCAAAAGAAAACCAAACCAAACAAAACCAAAACCACTACAAAAAGCAGCATGAGACAGTGAACAAATGTATCAATCATTTAAGACCTGTGCCAGCCCAAGACTGCTGTTGTTTAACCTCATTTTCAAACTGACATTCTAGTCCTATTTTAAGTGCTAAATACCCTCAGGCTTTAGCTGCAGGCTCAGTTTAAACTCTGCATCACAGCTCTAAGGAATTTTGGAATGAAAGGCAAAAGGATGAAACCAAGAAAGAGATCTTGGTATATAGATTTTGGTTCCTGAAATCCCATCTTGACAGATATATGTGACATATAAGTGGTTTGGTTTTAAGGAGCTTTGAATGGAGCATATGAAAACACACAAGCAGCTAGACTAAGGCTCCAAGCACTGTGTTTTGCAAATTGGTCTCTTTTATTAAGCCTGTCTTTCAGAGAGACAAAAAGCCAGCTTTGAATGCTTAAATTGCTGCAGTTCCTATTATAGTGAATGTGAAAGAAGCACACTGGAGGGTCTCCTACCACTCAAATCCTCAGAGTAACAGGGTTTTTATGAGGATGCCACTGGATATTGCAACACATTCACTGCAGTTCCCTTTTCAGGCCCTCTGCTGTCTAGCCGGAGGAGATGAGGATTTTGAAGGTATTTCCCTAGGGTAGGGGATTAGCTCAATTTGTGTAAATTCCTTTGAAGAACAGCATGTCTCCTGCTTAGTACATTATATGCACCATGAGCCAACTCCAGAACAAAACTGAATTTAAAGTAGCAGGGATTTTTTTTTAATGTCATTTGCAGGAAAACTAGTCCCCTTTTTTTAATTGTAGCTTTGAAAGTTCAGCTGCTGCAACCAAATACCAACAACCCAGTATACTCCTGTGTTTAGAAGACCTAGATCTATCTTTTATAAAAGACAGAATAATTTACAATACCTGTACCACAGACCACACATAACACAAAAGCTCTCCTGTGTCAGACACCACAGGGTCCACTTTTCTGCTTTTGCTCCAGTAATATTGCGTGCGTAGCTGTTGTGGCCAAAGGAAAGCAACATTTTTAAAGGTTTACCTTGAGCATATTTTTTTTATTTAAGTAAGAAGCACTCTTGGTCTTACTTCTGTGAATGCCAGAAAACAGAGTGCCTATAGAAAACACACCCCACAGCTTCACAGGAGTTGTAAAAAAAAAAAACAAAACCAAACAACCTTTCGAAACACAAAACACAGCACAGTTACAGGCTGAGTGCAGACCTTTATGTTCCCAGCTCAGGTGAGAAGAAATACTAACAGTGGAGAACCTCTAGAAACAACATGCTCTCTCTGCCCAGGGCCACATGCCACCCATTTCTGTACATCCCAGAATTACTGCAGTTAGCTGGTATAGCACTCAGTTTGCCAGTTATTGTTTGACAAAAACTAGACATGATAAACATTATTCAACTTCCTGCTGTGCCTGGGAACACTCTAATAGCAGTCACAGTGATGCCCCTGGGCTGGCAGGTGACCAAGGCATGGCTGCTGTTCCTGTGCTGCTGTGCTGGACAGGTTGGAACTCCTGTGGGAACTAGAGCTGAAGGGACTGTGACCTGCAGATGAGTCCATGTGAGAGCAGGTGCATCTTCAAAGCATCTGCAGCCGTGGTTGTGCCTGTGCCACAGTAAGTACACCTCTGAAGGGATTATGGTGCATTTCAAAGCCACTGTGGCTGTGGATAAGTCTCTCCCTGAGGAGACGGTGGCTCAGAGATAAAGCTCCACTCCAAGAAGGTATAATCCTAAGGGACTGCAGTCTGTGAGTAAGTCCAAGCTGGAGCAGGGGCAAGGGGAGCACTTCACTGCAATGTTAAACCATGACATGTTGGCCTTAATCATCTTAAGGATCTTTTCCAACCTAAATGATTCCACCATTCTCAGCCTTATAAATATTCTTGCCTAAGACATGGCATTGTTTTTGCACATATGGAACACTAACATATGCAGCAGTCCTGGCTGAAATAGAACATAAACACCTTCAGTGGTTTCTGTGCGAGACCTTGTTTGATGGCCACAGCATCAAGAAGGGAAGCGGGAAGAGAAAACAAACAGCTGCACTGTACTGACTCCTCCACCACAACGAAACATCTGTTGTACACACTGTTATCAAACCAAGACAACAACAATCCTGGTGTAAAAAGGAAAAAACAGCCAAAAAACCCCCCTCCACATTAGAACACACTAACTCTTGCCCACAACTTAATTCTACAATTGTACCTTAGAGGAGAAAACAATGGACTTTGCAACCTATTTAGAAGTTTAACAAGCCTGAGCCCTGCATACTATAGCAGGATACATGTGGATGCTTCCTCATGTGTCTCTCCCTGTGTGCACCAGAAAGACTGAAACCCTCATCTTTTGGGTTGATCCCACACTTGTTCTGGAATGGACATGTAAAGACACAGTTATTTCACTGATGGAACCTGATGGATCTCTCAAGGATTCTACCTCATCAGCATATTCCCAGAGCTGCTGACAGGACACAGGCAGGAGCATGAAAAGCACCACTCAGCACAGGTCACTGTAGAAGAAAACTATAGATCCAAGCAAGTTCCTATGTTCATTTAGTCCAACTTCCTTCCTGCCAAAACCAGAGACAAGAAATGGAGGAAAAACACACTGGTGTGTCCTAATCTGTGATCCATCCCTAAGAGATCTTTCCGTGATCTTTAGGCAGTGACTGGCTGTCTCTAGGGAATGTTCCAGCCTCACTCACAAGACCGACCAGGGACTGACAGGCAGTTCATGCCACACTGATATCAGGGTGCAGCACAGACTCACCTTTCCGTCTCCCCAAGGGTTATCTGCTGAGTGGCTGGAATAAGGTCTCGGATGAGAGATGCAGGAAGGATGCACAGAGCCCTCAGCACTCAGAGCTCATGTAACCCCCACCAACACAGGCCCACCTGGTGGAGCCTCACATCAAATCCACAGTCTGCAGAGTGCTTAGGGTATATGGAAAAGAAAATCAATCCATAACAATCAACACAACACAAACAATACTAAGCTAATACTTGTGAAGTAGAAACCATAATGAGGGGGGA